AGTTACTCACTCAGTCACTTTTGACACAGGCAAACAGAGACAGGAGAAAGAAAAGAAAAACAGCCATTTTAGCACAATTATTATAATTTATTAAGGTGGAGTCTTTACATAATTAACTTAATTAATTAGCTAGCTTAATAAAATTATAAAAAGTTAACTTTAAGTGAAGCCATCACAATGTCAGCTGCAAAGAAACAAAAGCTTTGTAATTTTTTATGCAAAATTTAGTTGAGTATATTAGTAGTCAACCCCAGCCATATAGACTATTTGTACTGAAGATGAGCATGAGGAGATCGAAGATGATGATCTTGTGAATGATGATTTTACCTTGAGTCTTGCCTGAGTCCTCATCTGAGTGTGAAGCAGTTGCGAGATTAGAGTAAATGAAACTCCATATTGCGAGAACACGCCCATTTCACGGCCGTAAAAGTGGGCGTGGTCAAATCGGCGGCGCGCTTCGCGCGCCCCTTTCTACTCGTAGCCGGTCGTCCCTAAAAAACGGACCGGACCGGACCAACCGACCATGGTGGGCGACAAATCTGTTTTACGGACCCGAATGGTCCGCGACATCTCTATTTTACGGACCACTTTGCTCACTATCCCGGTAATCTGATATATGCTAAAAATTATAGCTAATGCTTAGGTCAAGATTTACTCTTGCTGAAATCCTGCTTCTCGGTTAGATATAAGCCCCAAACCTTCAGATATTGCGAATTTAACAAATTTATTCATGAAGCAACTATGTAAAGCCTGAGCCTGGTACTGAGTACTGAACTTGGATGTTGTGCAGTGACTAGTCTACAACTATGGTTTAAATATCTCTTACTTATTTGTGTCACTGTACAGCTTAATGTGGCAAGCAAATCTTGTTCTAAATTCAGTGGAAAAATGGTTACAAATTAGATATGTAATAATAATTGCAACTTCTTAAATTTGTCAATGACCACTATGTTGGTACAGTTATTGTGGTTGATCATTTTATGCATGAATAACTTTAAAATTTAAGTCTATACTTGATAACATAACATGCAGTGTATGT